GAATGACATTTATCATTACATACTTACTAGCCATATTCATCTGGTACTTTTGTTCCTTTTGATGATGGTTGTGGTCCAACACCAACATAAAAGTACTAATAGATTTTTTTATTAACTTTATTGCTGCCTTTGTTAGGTGATTATCCCATGATATGGTTTTCATCACCGAGTATACCAACTAACATTACTGTGTATTTTTAAATAGTTTTTTTTTTGTTTTTGTATAAACTTATACAAATCAGCTGTCAGTGTTCGATTTATTTACGTCTTGCCATTTGTATGTGATTTTAATGGACTGAGTTTGGGACACAGTCTCACAAACGCACTGGGTTCATTGCTGCTCAAAAGTATTTGTATGTCACTATCTTTGCTTTGCACCATCTGATTGGCAAACTAGCATCCTTGTATGCTTTTCACCAGGTACCAGGTATGGTAATTGTTCTAAGTTTGCATTAATGTTAAGAGCTGCCAAAAATTGTTCTTCTTGTTGAACTGTTAAATTGACATTTTTTGTAAACTTTATAGAGAACGTGATATTTGAGCTACATTAGTCCTCACTTTGAAACTTGATTTTTTATCCATAAACTATTGGCTAATACAGAATTTTTGGCTGTATTGAACCAATGTAGTGATGGTGTGTCAGAGCTGGTAGCCTTTATCATCCCAGGTTGTGATTAAAGTAGTGTACTAGTCGTCAGTATTTCTAATCAGAAAGTGTTCTACTGTGATATCTTTGTACTCTGGATAAATTCCAGATTGTGGATGATCTCAGCTCTGTCAATTAAAACTATGTAGCAGTCTGCAAATTGTAATATGATCCAATGTAGAATCAACATTGAAATCTTCTCTGTACAGATTTCTTGTGACCAAAGTGACCACACCTTTGAAAAATTTCATATGTCAGAACAGATGGTTCATACTTATTTCGTTCTGGTGCTTTGTAGGAATGGAAACTGCTCCATAGTATTCTCCTTTTTAGCAGCAGCACCATTTTCCTTACAGCCAAATATGATGTTCTGCCTAATCCATTGTTTTAAACTTCCATTTATGCTTCAGAGTTGTAACATTATTTAGTGCACAGTATAAATATGTAATATACCTTTGTTACAAAAAATATCTATACTTGAGAAAACCTGTTTTCTGTGTGTCAACTAGAATGCAAAATGATGATTGCTAAATGAATTACATTTCTCCATTCATCAAGATTATTAGTTGTTCATCTCAGCTCATTTATTATATTTCTTTTTACTAGAGTCAGATAAAGTGTGATCCTAGGCTTACAATACTTGTCAATAGTAGGAATCTTGATGGTAAGCTGGTAAAAGCTGAGCCACGAGCAAAATTGTCTACAATATGAATTTTCCAACCCATATTGTTATGAGTGAAGCTATTGTAGTAAACAATGTCTGGCCATGAGGTATTAGGTGTCACTTCAAGAACAGCAGGGTCACCTGTGAAAATCAAGCAGAACAATCATCCAATATGTTAATCTTTCTAGTTTTTTAAATTTAATTAATTTATTGTTAACTCACCAGGTTCACATGTAAATTCCAAGCTACGGTTGAATTTCTTGAAAGTCGGGAAGTCATCATCAAGTCGGCGGTCTTTGCTCTTATGCCGGCTGAGACAAAGCGGACCAGCTGAAAAACGGAATTATACCATTAAGTTAGACTATTGCCACTTATTGTATTATTTTGAAGGTCCTTCATCTATAATTTCTTAATCACCAGCAAGTGGTCGAGGTTGTCCACGCCGCAGAAATTCAACACCTGCCAAAACTCTAACTTCTCTTTGCGCAGCATCACTGAGGCGATCAAAACCTCCATGGGGTTCATCAGTGATTATAAGAGGATGATATGTTTCTGCACTATGAGGATTATTACCACCACGTACCCGAAAAGCATAAGTCAAGCCTCGTCGCATCCAAAGTTCTGGTATAAGCATGCCATTGATATACCAGGATAGTCCCATGGATGTCATACCTAAACAAGGAAAAATCATGGAATGCGGAAAAAAAACTTTAAAATCCTAGGTATATACATAGAATTAGGAAAAGTAACAAGAACTACCTGTTTGGCCTTGATATCCACGTTTTCCTCCTGATGGGCCAAGGGTTGCAGTGAATGTGCGGGTTGTGCGGTCTAGGATGAGATTTGGTTCCCAAGGCTCTCTGCCAGTGTTAAAATATAATGTTAAAATTTTGTTGAGAGATAATTTTTTAACATTTCAGATAAATTTACCTTATTTTTTCCAAAGGTTTTGTAAATGCAAAGCAGTTGTCATAGTTGTCTTTTCGTGATAATTCAAGCCTTACATTTCCACGTGCATAGAAATCATGAAATGTGGGTTCCTTGTTGTGATCCAGATGACCTAAGGCCCAGACAACGTAAACACCCCCTTCAGTTGGAAACTCTCTATCATTTTTATCAGCTGTAATTACAAAGAATCAAAATGTCAGATAAGGATATTTAAAAAAAAAATAGAAAAAAGTGAAAAATTGCAATTTAATGAGATGTACCTGACATTAGCATACGTCTGTATGTGATGTAGGTCACACCATCTACCCTTTCAGCTGTGTGAAGCTGATTGTCGTCCAAGCCTCCTATCAAGTCGTCTCGGCAAACACCCTTGTGTTGGCCAAGAACTTTTATACACTGGAGGAAATTAAAATTTAACTTTTGCTCTTATATAAAGGGCATTAAAGATGTAAAAGATTCACATTGTACTTACAGGAGATAAGGCTGTAACATTATAATCTGTTGCATATCCTCGAAAACCATCCATATAAGCAACAGCAATATCAGCACCCATCATCTGACTGCGATCCACTGCACCACTGAGACCAAATGACATGTAAGCGTCATCGTCTGGAAAACAGAAGAAACTTGAGACAAGGAAGGTTAAGAATCAGGTTAGTTACAGTCCAACCAGAATTTTTTCCTTACCTATTTGCCCTGCTAGTTCAATAGTAATTTGTGGCCCAAAAACATCCCAGCCAACTTGTAAATCTTTATGCAACTGGTAACAATTTGGAAGAGCTTTTTTTCGGGGCTGAAATCAGAAGTGGTATTGAGCCAATGACTGTAGTAAACAGGAGAGTTTGTAAAAAATTAAAAATGATAACTCACAATTATTTTGACTAGTGAAGGGGGTACATTCAACCCGTCAGGCACTATTACTGAACCATAATTTTCTTTTGATTCCACATCATATATACTCAGCCAGTCAATATCAAATATTGTTAAATCACCAGGCAGTTCCAAAGTGACAGTTTCTCTCTTATATGCCCGAATGGGGTCCAAACTGGAACATAAATATTTTACTATGCCAAAATTGTATTGAGAGATAGGATAGTTTTGAGAATGACATTTATCATTACATACTTACTAGCCATATTCATCTGGTACTTTTGTTCCTTTTGATGATGGTTGTGGTCCAACACCAACATAAAAGTAAGTATCTGCAAATTGATTGTTGTATATGAGTGTCAACAGTAACATTTTTTAAAGAACCAGATTACCAATAGTAATTAAACCTTTGCCAGCTCCGTTATAGTTCAGCTCAGGTATTCGGAAGGTCTTTGCATCTATAATTTCAATGGACTCTGATCCAACATCATGGGATCGTTTACTTAGCTGAGAAATTTTTTGAACTGTTGGTGGTTCAAAGTCCTCAGGGATGTATAAGTCACCAAAAGCATTCTTGAGAAAAAAGAAAAATGTTAGTTGTTTTTCAAAACATTAGAAATATGATGGGAAGCTTAGTATGGAATTAGAAATGATACCTGACTTGTAAGATCATAAATGGCAAACCATTTTATTTCTGTGATCTTCTTTCCATCTGGTAAAGTAATAGTGAAGTCTTTGTTGAAGTACCGTGCCAAAATATTTGTCCTTGTAACAAAATTAAGACATTGTTAACATCCAAACAATTAAAAGAAATAATTACTACTAAAATTAGATTGCTTACTTTCCATATTCATCTGGTACAATAAATCCTTGCGGTCCTGGGCGATTAGATGCACCAGCCCAGAAAAATGTATCAGCTCCATTTCCATCATAATTAAATTCAGTCAACAAAAATGTGTACTCATCAACTGCATACACATCTCCAGATACTTGGTGATGGTACGAATTTATTTTTCCTAAAAATTTTCCTCTATACACTTCTTTTTCTTCACATTGTGAAAGGCATAAAACTTGAAATATAACTGTAGAAGATAAAATACAAATTTTAGGAAATTATTATGTTCAATGATTTTTCAAAAATCCTAAACTGCAACTTTGCCTTCAGCCAGCTTCTTTATTTTTAACGCGATATGAGGATCTCATGTTTCACCGGGCGTTTAAGTCACCATAAGCGTGCCCTCGGAATGTCCAAAAGGGGCCCAGAGGGAAGATCTCTTCTGACTTTCCTAAACTCAATTTTAACTTCAAATAAGCAAACGAAAACTGAATAAAAAATTCAAATCAGTAAATCTTCCCTTGGAAAGATTTTTTTTTTTTCAGAAGTACATCTATGTAGCGGCAATCAAACATCTGCTTCCGCGCCCGTGTTTTGCCTTGAACGCATTTCGGACGCGACAGTTTTTCCAGGGAAGATTGTCGGACAATTTCAGACAATATAGAATCATGGGGCCTTACAGTGATTCAGTGCGATGAGTCACGAACTGAATAGACAATAAAGGAGAAAGCGGGGCTTACCTACAACAGCTAAAACCACTTTTCTACGTGTCGTATTCTTGAAATTTGTCATCTTTCTTCTAGTCCACAACTAATGAAACACATTTCTAGTGCGTTAACGATAGGTGGACCTTAAGTGCATGTTTACATGCCCGGTCTGAGACCTGAGCCGTCGAGAAAATATTCTCGGCACTCAAGAAATTCTTTGGTGAGGCGCTATCCACCATCAAGGCAACTTGCCACTCACGGATACAGACAGAGACGGAGACGGGAGGGCATAACGCGGGGAGAGGGAAGGGAAGGAGGGGATAACGGAGCACGCGAGTAACGGGAAGTGGAAAGGGGCCCCCGGGGGGGGGCAGCCGTCCAGCACCGGGGCATATTCACGCTCCCATCGCAATTTTAGAAGATATCAAAGCCCACATCAAAATTTCATTTGTGAGTCACACAAGTGGCAAAGTGAATGAACGTCGACGTCGACATTTGTCCAGCAAGCATTCCTTCTTAATTTTCGCGGGCCAAAAACCGAATGGGGCGCACGCACGGGTATCGACCTCTCGACAAAGCTTCGGCAGGAGTACCAGCCTGTTGGTACTAAATATTTGTTGAGATAAAAGCTCTCAATTTCTTTATCATGAAAAACGATTTAAGAAAGGTTGGAGAAAAATGTCATCATTGCAGAAAGGAAAACACTTCTGTTAGCACATATATGCTTGCGCCAGGGGCAGTATCGTTACGTGATGGTGATAGGTATCACGCAGTGATACCAGGTTGATCAGCTGTAGGAAAGGCGGCAAAAACCCAAAGAGAAGTGTTTGGGTTTGGTTAGTTACACGTGACAAGACAATCGTCAAGTCAAACTATTTCTTCACGTCCTATGACATATATTTTGATTTGAAATAAGTGAATGAAACGAACCTTGTGGTGATAAATTTTCTCAAATTACGATTTTCAGTTGTAGTTTCTATCACGTCAATTTTTGTATTTGATAAATAGAGACGGGACCTTCTTCTAAGGATTACCATAGCTGGAGGTTCCCATGTCGGCCCAAAAGAGTTTGACGTCCTTTTTCAAGCCAGTACCCAAGAAACGCTCTTTGAGCGACGACAATGTTCTTAGTGAAAATTGCGCTAGCAAGAAAAAATTAAAATTGGAAAATGATTTTGAAAATGAAAAGAGACAACTAACAGTTGATCCGGTAAAAGATTGTGATCTTGTAGACCCTGAAGCAAAATCTAAATCAATGGATGATGTAGTTACTGAAAAAACAACCAAAGAAGGTACTTGCGAAGAAAAAGAAGATAAAAATAGTTTAGTTGATGAGAAGAAGGCTTCCAAAGAAAATGACCCTAGTGTCTTGAGCACTCCGCCAAACAAAAAAACCCAGGATAAAACAATAATGTCACCCTTTGGCATGCTTACCCCATTGCAGTGTCTTGCTCGTATCAAGAGTCAAGCTGCTAAAACTCCTGCCCTTCATCCGTGCATTGGATCAACGTGGTTTTTTGCATTGCATTCTGAATTTCAGAAACCATACTTCTCAAAGGTATGTATATTTTTTTATTTACTATTTGGCAAAGTTAATTCTAAGTCTAAAAAACTTTTTTTACTTGTAGAATGAAACATGGCAGGATACTGATTTTGCTTATCTTAATTTTTTTGATCATAACAGCTTAGTGAATTTGTGACCCGTGAACGTGAGAGAGGACGTGTGTATCCTCCAGCAGACCAAGTGTGGACGTGGACTACCAAGGTCCCAATTAAAGATATTAAAGTTGTAATTCTTGGCCAAGATCCTTACCACAATCCAGGACAAGCACATGGTGAGAACCTTTAACACTTTTGTCGCAGGGGGGTCCCCTTTTATATGCTATCGTGGCCACATGTGTGTTCATGTGGGACTCAACATATTAAATTGAGCTTCTTTCAATGCCAGGAGTCTCCCTTTTTAATTCTAAGCTCTTTTCTAGGTCTGTGCTTTAGCGTTCCTAAAGGAGTGACTCCTCCTCCAAGGTAATGTATCATGAAGCAAAGCGTATTCATTTATCTTTTATCTTTATTCCTTCACACCTTGTACAAATTTGAAAAAGCTTAATTTATTACTTCTGTCACCAGCTTAGTAAATATGTATAAGGAACTTGCTGCTGATATACCAGGATTTACTGCTCCAAAACATGGCTATCTAGAAGGCTGGGCTGAGCAAGGTATTTATTCAACTGTATTAAATTTTTGAAGAACATTTTACCACTTTACCAACACGCTATTGACAATTGCTTTCACTAATTTGTCCTAGGTGTTCTACTTCTCAATGCATGTCTCACTGTCCGAGCCAATACTCCTAATTCACACAAGGACCAGGGTTGGGAACAGCTCACTGACGCAGTAATCAAGTATATTAGTACAAATAACAGAAATGTTGTGTTTTTACTGTGGGGTTCATATGCCCAGAAGAAGGGGTCAGTCGTGGACCAAAAGAAGCATCATATTCTCAAAACAGTGCATCCCTCACCACTCTCAGCTCACAGAGGATTTCTCGGATGTAGACATTTTTCCCAGTGTAATGATTTTCTGAAGAAGGCAGGAAAGAAACCCATAGATTGGTCCCATCTACCATAAATAGTGCTGTTTTTTAAAAGTGACAAGTATGCAACAACTTCTTTTACATGCATGTAATTGTGTTTAGTTTATACATCAAACTATACTCTTGGAAATATTTTAAAGAGGATTTGTCAATATTTTATATCTTGTCAGTTTTGAGTTGCTTTCTTGGTGGCAATCCAAAATAAATTTTTTTATTATCCTTGCTATAATACTGTTAAAATAATTTTCCTGTACTATCTCCTTAGCTTTCGAAACAATTTGAAGTTGGCGCTGGAACACGGCTGGCGAGGACTTCCTTACGTTTTTCCAATGTTGGCACTACTAAGGGTTGCGTTTGAGGAAGAAGTGTTGTCTCTTGTCTCCCTTCCCCTCATTCAGGAGAGGCGCTGACGCTGAAGGACGAAGGACTTGCTCTTTTCGTACACATCGCGCGTGTGCGTGTCCTCGCTCGAGTCCTCGCTCGAGTCACGTAGTGTCAGTGTCATGGAATGAATGGAATCTTCTATTTTGGCCTGCGGTTGTACCGTCGTCTGCATTCGAAGAGGAGGGCATGACCCCGGCCATTTCCTGGCTTCCTCACATTAGAACTATGCTTTGGGATTTTAAGGGAATTTTCGGTCGATGCCGTGGCGAAATAGCTGCTTTTAGCTCTCCTCCTTCACCCCGGCGTGTGATAGGCCATCGTGCGGGGGAGTGGTCGTGGAAACCGTGATAAGCAAGACGAACACTCGACAACTTCTCGTCGCGATTGTTATCAAATTTGTATTACGCTGTGTGAAGTGCCAGTCTATTTATGGTAGACCAAAACAAGTGTGTGCTGGCTCAGGCTAGGCAGACCTTGGTGTATTGGTCTTGGTGCTGGCCCACTCCCTGCCGTGATGTGAACTTCAGTGAATATCTTAGGACAAATGGTTGTGTTGGAGCTTAGTGATTTTTTCTGTAGAGTTTTGAAAATTTGAAAATGGCCGCTGTGAAATTGGGTATTCAGGACAAGAAAGACTTGGACAAGTTCACCAAGTTTCTCGCCTTAAAAGCTGCTCAGATTATTGTTCAATCTCGTCTTGGAGAAAAAGTGCACACAAAGTGCAAACCACACTCCTCTGGCACTGACTGGGTAAGAATGAAAAATATCGAAATCTCTGTGACACAAAATTGTGTTAGCTGTAATTCTTTGGGTGTTCATTTAAGCGTGAGAATACCGCTTTGTTTACAAAAATAGCCAACCATAACCTCATTTTTTTTTCATCATATATGTTGGTAACATAGTGTTTCAGCTGACTTAGACATATTGACATACTGTGACCATGCTGTGTATTTGCAACATCCCATTTATTCTTTTAATTTTTTTCAGTTCAATTTGGCCATCAAAGATTTACCGGAAGTACTGACAGAAGCCAAGAAAGTGCTCTGTGGTGAAGTTGCCACAGCTCAACTCCCATTGTGTGTTGAAATTTCATTACGAACTGTCGAGGGGGACACAATGATGCTTGAAACTTGGTGTTTAGGAATGCTTCCTGATCAGTGTGATCCATCTGTGAGTACTTTTTATCTTTCATTTGTTATCGAAGTATTGAACCCTTGATTATTAGTACTAGTTATCATTTTACTTTCAGGTGAGAATAACTTATACAGTATATAATAGGATGAGCATTTTGTTGAAATCCCTGGTGTCTGTAACAAGATGCACTCCAGCCTATAAATTATCTCGGCGTCAGGGTCCAGATTCCTTTGTTATATGCTATCGCATATATGTTGGCGAACCCCAATTCCACAATTTAGGTATTACACTAATTGGCAATATCTTGTGTTTCTTTTACTACCTTTCAATCTAATCCTTCTTTTCTTTCTCAGGAGAAGGTTACAGCCAAGTTCGTGTAGGGCAACTTAGCACCCCTGTTGGAACATTACAATTGTCAGTGGCATATCGCACTAAAATGACAATCAGTCCACAACACACAGGAAGAGATACATCAATTATGCTTAAGTCTGATCACTTTCGACCAGATCTTAGTCCAAGAATCGTTACTCGTAAAGAAAGGTACGAAACCTATGCTATGTTGCATTCATATCAATGCCTTAGATGGAAAGTATTAATTGTTTTCTTACTTGGAAATTGTGACTTCTTAATTGATTTCAGTGTTTCAAGCTCTGTGCTTATAGCTGAGGAAAATACTACATCCCTCAGTGAAACCATAAAAGTTGGAGCATTTGCAGACAACAGTAGACCACCTGCTCCTCCTGGAGATTCAGACCTAGTTTTCCCAGATGTTCCTTTCAGCAGTTTACTTTTACCTAAACAACAATCCCCACCTCAAGTGAGTATTTATTTTAGTATAGTATCATATCATGTTTTATGGATATTAGTTCTCAGTGTTCTGAGTTACTAACTCATAGAGAAGTGCTCACTTAAATTTTAAAAGTCTTCTTTGTCTGTTTTTGTACAGGGATCTCCACTTCAAATGCCTATACTCACTGCTCAATTTTCTAAACAAGAGACAATTACAAATACGGCAATTAATACTCCGCTTCCTGATGATAACTCAGAATTGAGTAGTGATTCCAATGGGAATGTTACTCCTCGTGCTATCTCTGCATCGAATTCTCGACGCTCAAGCTGTTCATTAGCATCAGCCAATGAAGACTTCATTATGGTAGACTTGGTAATATATTATAGCTGACTAACACGACAATCTGCTTCAGTGAATTGCTAAAGATTTGTGCAAATTTGTGCTCTTTCTAAAAAAAATTCTAAAACTAATATCCTGATTTGAACTTCATTTATGTACATCTGTACACCTCTGAATTACTTGTTTGGTTTTAAAATAAGAATGAAATTGAAGAGTTTAACAAAGTAGCCATAACTGTTGCAATTAACTCTTTCATGTTTGAACACACATCTAGTGCCTCTTCATCATATCTTTTCCCATTTCATAAGTGCTTTGAATTAATTTAATGTGTCTTATCTAATTTTATTTTCAGAAAACACCCTTTGCTGGTAGTAATGCCAACAGTGATTTAGGGGCATTCTATCGAGAATGCCAGAGTGCACCACCCCTCAGAACTTTTCAAGAAGTCCCAACTCTTGCTCAGCAAGTTGAAGATTTAACTGAGCAGCTAGAAGCATTTGAGAGTAATATGGCAGCATATGATGAGGTGCTTGGACAATTGTGCCCTCACCTCCCAACAGACACTAATTGACAAATTTAGTGAAAGAAATTTCCAAGGGTGGTCAAACCCAGAAAACTGTGACTGAATTGTGGCCATGCGGCACTGAATGTGTTAACACAGTGAAATTGTTCCTTTTATGTTTTCCGACGTTTTGTACTCAATCTGAGTTTGTTGTAGGTTGTGTTCTAACTTTCCAATTTACAGTATATTGGCCACTGTGGGCTCCTTCACTGCTGTCTCCTTGAAATGTGTCTGTTAAGCGTGATAAGATAGAAGAAAAGAAAAAAAAGCTTTCATGAAAATATCATGACAGGTCTGTGAATCAGAATTATGTGAGTTTTATTGGGAACATTAAAGAACTTGTACTTGTAGACTGTGGTCAGTCAAAACTCAATTCTGAATTAGCATAGTAACACTGCTTGTTTTTGGATTTTTATTAATAATTGATAAGATTTTATACCCAAAGTTTTGGATGAACCTAACTTTTGTATCAATCATAAAAGAATTCAGTCAAATTTGAAGGATGTAGGTTAGTAAAGAGTTAAGCTGTGATGAATAAGAATGAACTTATTAATTAAATTTAATGAATGGTGAAAGCTTCTTTTATAAAGCTATCACAGTTGTTATTTATTCAAGTACAGTATTGCTATTTGACAATTGAAGGGAAGAGGCCTAATTCCAACCCCTCTCCTTGATCTACAAGAAATTTCTGATTGCTTTCTTTACACTTTCAAATGTGGACATGATGATAAATGCTGGCACAAGCCAAATATCTTTATACTTAATATTTTGGTCTAAAATCTTTTTAAGGGGCACCATTGAGAGATAATATTGGGTTTGACATTAGCAGGTACAAAGAGCCAATATCAATTTTAGTTATGTGCATCTGTTTGGAACTGTTCTATTTCATGAACAGTGATTTACTCTAATATCTATCCGCATGTCTTTCAGTGCTGGGAAAACAATTGTCAGTCATATTAAACAGTATCACTAAGACTGAGAATTTAGCATTTGTATTGGCATATATGCAAGTTGTAAATGCTTTTCTGAGTTAAGATAATGTTTGGCATAAAGGTGAAGGTTTGCATGGTGACTCAAGCTTATTTTATTTTAATGTGCATTTTAATTATCTAATTAAAATTTCTAGTCCTGTTAACGAAGTCATAAAGTTTGTTGCTGATGGAAGTTTATTAGTGAATTGCTAATATAGTTTAATGTTGTCAAATCTTAAGACTGTTTTACTCTTAAAATTTTAGGCTAAAACAACATATTGCCTAGATTATGTAATACTAATTGTATATTCCTTTTTGTTTTCACATTATGACGTTATTTTAGTCCATACCTTTGTTTTTAGTAAGGCTCAGTCTCATGACAGGCATGAACCGTGACTTAGTCAGGACTCAGTCCTGGGGAGGCCATAGAGATCAGTTTATCAGCTTGGGAAAACCCTTTCTCAGGGAGCCGTTCTTTGCGGCATCCCTAGGATTGAGTTTTTTTTTAGCGCCTATGCTGTGACTGAGATACTCTTTGCAGCTGTTGTGAGACTGCATCTTTGTCATCGAAAAGGTATCGTTAGTCTTATAAATGCTTGGTTAGTGTTGGCTCAATTGTACTGCTTTGTTTCATATTTCAAAAAATATTGGCGTTGAAGCCATAAGGTGCTGGGCATGCTTACACATGGATTTTGAAGTGCCTTATATCAGCTCTCATTTTTAAGTTTTCATAGCAACATTTTGGAGTGACTTTGTACTTGCCCTAGCATCTAGAACCCTTTTGCAAGGGTTTTCTTTCCGATTTAAACAATGGACTTGAAGTTTTAATAAAAATCCATATGATTTAAGAAATGAAGTTTCAGTCTTGTATGTAGTAACGATCTGTACGTTACCAACCAATAACTGTGTTGTAATTATCAAATTTAATTGACATGCTTTTTTATAAAAATTGTGTACCAATATGGTGATATTTATCTGTTCATTGATTATTTATTTGATATCGTGTAAATCTTTTATTTGATATCGTGTAAATCTTTTCTCATGTTGCCTTTTTTCTTTTTATATCTGCTCCTTTCAAATTGTAATATTCCTACAGCTTGTCTTAAAGCTGCTTACTCAATGAGTAACATCCCTGTTCATAAATTGTGATATGTATGGGACTGATTGTGCCAAACTGGCATAGTTCTTGTTTATGTAAGATAAGAATATGCTGAGACTTAAAATTTGTCTTCTTTTGCTTTGGTTTCTCAAGTTAGTGGTTGAGCAAAACCAGTTTTGCTTTATACATTTTCTAAAGTGTAATTACTTAAAGATTTGTCAAACTTATGAGTTTTGGCATGTGATATTTATTATATTTTAATATTATTCATTATCAGCTTTGTAATCTTTGTGCAGTGTCTTGCATAATTACATTAAGTAATCTATGTTCAATTTCTTTTTATAGACCTGCTCCAGCTCTAATGCTCCTTCCCATGTCCTTCCCTCAACCACTAGACATTGCTTGCACACGAAAAAAAAGACCACTAACACAATATCACTTCTTTGACCCCAAGCTCCCCTCCAAGACAACAGAGTTATATAAACTTCTTCAATAAGCCATCCCGTCTAGACGGAGTATACGCTACGGCACTTTTCCACTAGTCGGCCAAGGTGTATAAATCAGAGCAGGAATGACAAGAACCGCGCCGCCGTTAACCTGTTGTTGGTCACTATTGTGAAGACCTAAGGCATTTCCGAGGAATTCAATGCTGGTGTCACTGTAAAGTCATTTTGACTTGCTCGATTTTCTCTATTTTCACAGGATCCGGCGTCCGGTCGTTACCTAGTCGTAGGCCAAATATACATACATTAATTAGTGGTTCACCTTGACTTTCGAGAGTCACAGAGACGGGCTCAACTCAGGGGTTACTGAGTCAGCGAGTCAATCGCAAATACAGTAGTCGCATGGAATGGATCGTTCTACAATAAAATGACCTTCGCACCCGCGCCACTGATTTTATTTTATTCGATTAACTCCGTATTTTCGCGCCCTGTTGTCGGAGCCTCTATTCGCTCGCCTCAGTATCTATTCTGAGGTAGATGAGCGAAGATGCCTTTGCTTATCAAGCTCGTTTGATTGGTGTCCTCCATTCTCTTCGGAACACCTCGTTTCGTCCGTTTGCTTGTGCCATTCCCTCCAGGGCAACCCTTTGAATACACAACGTTTCTGAAGTTTGCCGGACTGCCTTGTTCATCTGTTGCTGGTTGGGCGATCGGTGGCGATGTGTCAACAATGAACAATCATGGCCGCCTAAAAGTCATCTGTACGTGCGATGGAGTAAATAATCCTAAGGTAACTGCATTAAATGTCATATTTACGTATGAATTGTATACTTGACGGCGTCGGTGAACTTGTTGTCACTTTTTCATGCAGAAAATAGAATGGATACATCTTAAATACATGTTTCACAACTTGTGTAGACAGTCAATGATCTAGGCCATAGCAACAGAAAAACTATGCTTTAAAACGTACTTGTTTTTACGCTAACGTTTTACTTTGAACGCTTTTGGTACTTTCTTCTTGGTTATAGACGTTGTGAAATATTAAATTTCTAATTGATAACATATTTCATCCATCCAGTCATGTTTTATTGGTGTTCTAGCTAGCTGAATCATCTGCTTGCTAATCACTTTAAAAGTCTTAGTGTCTGAACACTCTTGATTTAAACACCCATTCAGTTGGTTCTATCAATTTCATACAGTTGACTGTGTTCTATTTTTTTATATTTACAAGACCTTTTACGTTTTTCTGATATTTGCTACAGTAATGAGCAGTACATAATAAGCTACTCTATGTACCTAAGAACAATTAAGTTTTCACCAAAAAGAAATTTGATCTCTTAAATGTCTCTTGATATGTGTTCAATTTATTTTATCTGATTCCCTTTTTTTGGTGTGTTTGTCATAGAATGCCGATCCAGGCTCCACAGTGGACCGAGTTCCTTTCGTGTCCAGTGTGCACAAATGAATTTGCACCTGCTCTTCGTAGTCCTATCAGCCTGGGCTGTGGACACACTGTGTGCAGAACATGCCTTAACAATTTGCATTGTAAGCAGTGCCCATTTGATCAGGTACGTTGTACATTTTGTTTATTGTTAACATTTCCAGTGCGGAGAGGGGCCAAAAACCCTTGCAACATTGAAAGTGTAGCCGCACTGAAAGTGTTCAGTCATAATATTTTTTGTGATATTAGTTGAGAATTTATGAGATGCAGGTTCATAAAAGGTAATGATTATATTTCTCAACACAGGCAACTATTAACACTGATTTAGAAGAATTACCGGTAAATTATGCCTTGTTACAACTAGTACTTTTGAATGGGCCTCTAGATGCAAATGAGGAACAGCAAGATTTTGTTCCCAACAACTTGTTGCCTGAAGATTCTAGGCTTTATCTTCAATCTAAAAAATGTATAGAGGAACTGGCTCTATATCTCAAACCCTTCTCTACTGGTAAGAGATAAAAATAAATAGTCTTAGTGGAAATGTTGAACTTTAGTATGTCATTGATAGACTCAAAATAAACACTGTATTTCTTTAGGAAATGGGGGTGGGGGTACAAGTTTCCTTTCACGCCCTATGCAGCGAAAATTGGTCACTCTAATAAATTGCCAGTTGATGGAAGCCGAGGGAAGAGCAAGAGCTTTGAGGGCAGCTCGTTCGTTAGGGGAAAGGACTGTTATGGAGTTGATTTTGCAACATCAAAATCCACAGCAGCTCTCAGCCAACTTATGGGCAGCAGTTAGAGCACGAGGATGTCAGTTCCTTGGGCCAGGTAATATATAAACATCTGATGTGCCTAAATACTGCTTCTCTTTATTTATTAAAAGTAAAACTAAGTAACTATTTGATTTTTTTAGCTATGCAGGAAGAAGTTTTAAAATTGGTTCTGCTTGCCTTAGAAGATGGATCTGCCTTGTCTCGAAAAGTTCTTGTAATGTTTGTTGTGCAAAGATTAGAGCAGCATTTTCCTCAAGCTTCCAAGACCAGTATTGGACACGTGGTTCAGCTTCTGTATCGTGCTTCATGTTTCAAGGTAGTTTTTCTTATTTGCGTATCATTTACGGTAAACCAACATTAACCTATACAGTTTAATGTTATTAAATGTAATGTACACTGTGCTAAAATGCTTATATATGTATTTATAAAATTAATTTTGTTCTAGGTTTCTAAACGGGAAGGGGATTCATCACTCATGCAATTAAAAGATGAATTTAGAACATACGAAGCTTTACGACGAGAGCATGATGCCCAAATTGTTCAGATTGCCACTGAAGCGGGATTAAGAATTGCTCCTGATCAATGGAGTGCTCTTCTCTATGGCGATACTGTGCACAAATCACAGATGCAAAGCATCATAGACAAGTTACAAAGCCCCCAATCTTTCTCTCAGTCAGTACATGAACTCATCATTGCCCTTCAAAGAACTGGAGATCCCGGGAAACTCTCTGTTCTTAGATCTCACTTGGAACTCCTTGCTGAAATTGATCCAAGCCCAGGTTTGTGCAGTATTTAATACTGAAGATGATCCTGTAACCTCTCTTGTCTTTATCATGTATCTCTCTATGTATCCTCTTGTTGCAGAGTGTGAACCTCCTTCTTGGAGCGAATTGTGGCATGCATTAGATGGAGTGCGTGCTGTAGTAGCTGGCTTGGTGGAATTTATTCAGCTGCATGGATCCCGTAAATTGACTGACCAAAATGGACAGCACGGTGCCAAATACAAAATCAGCATGTGTAGAGACTTGACGTTGCGCAGTTCTTGTCCAAGAGGTGCTAATTGTACTTTTGCCCATACTGAAGAAGAGTTAGACAGGTAACTGTATTCCTGCTTGCTTTTTGTCTTATTTATCGTATCTTTTATCCTATTATCCACAATCTTGAATTATTTTTGTAGATATCGAGCAAAGAATCGCAAAAATGCAGTGAGATTAATGAAAATTTCTAGTGACATTAAAGAGGAAAGAGAGGATGGGGATGGTGTGGCTTCTGGTGAAGAAACAGTGTATGGTAGTCCACCTGTGGACTCTAGCTCTATACGAAAAGGTTTGTTCTTTAATTACACATCCAACTTTTTCTTCTACTTCCATGTTCTGGACTCTAAGTCATCATTTAAATTGCAGGATTCTTGGCCTCTGGACCTCAAACTGTGCCCAATTTGAGCTATCGACCAGTAATGAATTTAGCCTCTCGACCTGATGTGGATTACAATGTCCCTTATCCGGGTGGTGCAGGACTGACATCTCCATCTCAACTTCTCTCTTCAACACAAACATCTCTTCAACAGGTGTCACCTGTCCAAGTCACATCATTTAGACCGATGCAACCGGCCATGTTTGCTCAAACTCCTGTCTATGCCCCAGATATATACAGGTGTTGTATTGTACATTTTTCTTGAATTGGTTTCTGGAATCTGGTTATTTAGGAAAACTTTTAATATTTTCTTTAAATCTACAGTCAATCTCCACATGCCTCGATGCTTGGAATTCATGCTGGGCAACAATTTAAAGCAATATCTACACAAAATTTGGACTACTCCTCTCCACCTTCACCATTGCCCATGGAAAATACTCGCAACGCCTCAAAAATGGAAACTGTACATCAGAAGCATGTTCACCCTAGGATCATTCAAACTGGTCCAGCCAAAGGAATGTCCTCAAGAGAATTGTTCATGCTACAACAACGTAAAAATAAAATTGTGTCCCAACTTGAGAAAGTTGTTGGAAAACATTTAGCCAACGCAATATCAAGTCAAGTCAGAGTAAGTCATATCATTTCTATCCATTTCATTGAAATATTGCTTTATATACCCTGTGTCGGACACCTTTTGGGACCCTATGTAATAATCTAGTCCAATGATGTTTCTGTTGCTATCAAGCTGTGCTTTACATGTTTGCCCATTTTCCTCCTCTCTTGCAATAGATATCTCAGATGCTAAATGTGGATCCTCAGTTGTGTGGACCACCACCTTGCTGGAGTGTTGGTGCTGGCGATGCCCTTGATGGCCATAGGGCACCTCACATTAGTGCACCATCCTTAATTAACAGGTATTTAAAATTTATGGCTGATATTTTTATTACATTTGATGTTACTATACCTGAGTAGACCAAAATCATACCACTTAACTTGTTTCAGGTCGAATTCATTTCAATCAGATGATGATGTTGTTCCTCATGAGGGGCCAGTAATGAATAAATATGGTCCAATTTCAAGAATGACAAAAACATTGATACAATCAGGAAACCCATACGCTGAGTCCCCCATACCAGGCTCAGTCAACAGAAGGCCTCTAACACCATCCAGTCCCATGGCATCTATGTTGCTTCACAACATACCAGGTTTGTAATCTCATTTTGGTGTATTTCATGTACTTAATGACAAGGTTAAATAACCCTTGAATTGTATTTGAAGGATATCCTTCAAGCTCTCACATTTTAACTACCCAAGGTCCTGCTGGCAGTGATGGTTATATTACAATTGGACACAGCATTCTTGATTCAACTCAATTTATTATGCCCGAAGACAAGTAAGAAGTAAAAATGTTTTGTTTTAGCGTTGAATAGAATTTGTGTCATATTGATCTGTACCTTCTGTTGTTATTTTCTTTAGGCAACAGTTGGAATCACAACTTATGCATTTGCATATGAGGAACTTAGAGCAAGGAATTCATAACCTCAAGTTAGACCCAGAAACACATTGTATGCAGGTATGTGTCTACCGTTGTCTAGTACTGATTTTACCAAAATTATGCCAATGTTAGGGGGAAAAAAGCAGAAAAAAATTAAAAAATAACACTGAGTTATGGCTATGCATACTATGAAACTTGGATAGTGAGAATTGCTCGAGAAAGAGGTCTGAGTATGGTTTATGCAGGTATTCTTCATAACCAGGTACACTCATATGACAAATTTGCCTTGGGTCCTCCTTAAAGTTAATTTGCAATGAGGTACACCTACTGTCCAGGTTTCACTGTATTTCAGTGTACAGTATACTGTTATGTATCAGGTTTTAGATATGGATTCAATCGATGATGACATCATCATCTGTTTCTTTTACTTTATTTTTACTGTGCAATATGTTATTTCACAGGAGAGTGAAAAGCTCACATCTGAATTGTTTGCTATTGAGCAAGGCATCCGCGAGCAGATCCGAATGGTAAGAAAAAGTTAAATTTTAGAGTATGTCTTTTTAAAATCAAAATTTTTAGGTCCAAAAAATTAACTTGACATGTCAATTTATTACAGAGTCAGCCGATGAATTCTTCAGATATGAGTTCCTGGAGCCTGAACAAAGAAGGTGGTAATTTGAATTGGAACATTAGACCTCCTGGAAATATACATGTTCAAGGAGTAAGTTGTATTGTGAAAATATGCACTGTGCTTCAGTACATAAATGCCATGATCAATCTAATTTTACCTATGTCTTAGGAGGACACCTATGATGCAGTCATAGCCAACGACATGATGGAGCAGGCATTGCGTCTTGAATTGGACCTTGAAGAACAAGAGAAACGCTGGTGTAATGAGGATGGCACTGCAAAGCCTTAGGGGGCAACACCTGGGAGTGAGTGATCATGTTGTTATTTCCATTGCCCTGTACTTCTGTTGATAGATATTTTTGTCAGCAATGTACTTCTATCAAACCTTCTCATTATTTTCTCTGATTGTCTAGTGATTTGTAATAGTTTACATTTTTCGTGATTTTTCTTATAGCATAACATAGATATGCTACCAGGAAAGTCTAATCAAATGTTTTGTTTTATTTTGTTTTCTGAGAAAACGGCAATATGCCCTTAAATTACGTTATACTCTTGCTATTGTTTACTTTTGATGTTCGGTCAGTACTTTAACCACAGGGACAAGGCCCCTAATATGTACAGTTTGTCTTGTATCAATTGAAATATTGATAGTTTTGGGACAAACTCTTGTTTTATTGGTTGACATTAGCTTTTATTTGTGGGCCTTTCTTGTTTGACTTTGGCTGCAAATGATTGGCTTGAAACAAGCCGGAGACTTTCCTTTATTCTTCTTAATCATTTACAGTGTCTACAAGATTTTCTTGTATTTATAACTAGTAAAAAACTCTCAATTCTGTGAGGGTATTATAAAGAAACCTATAGCAATTTCTTAAAATGTGATCTTTTATTATGTGATGCAGCCAAATGTTCACAGCATTTAGCCATATCTCCACTTTTTGAAGTGTACATACAGATTTGACATTGTTTTTCCATTGCATGTTCCCTGTACACAACTGTCAAAGGATGTTAACTTTGGGAACTTGTGATTGAATGATAAGGAGGGTAATTATTATAATTATATATATCCTTGCATGTTGAGGAATATTGCAATCCAGCTGGGTAAGAAAAACCCGTTGTGTTGGGTGTGATTTTGCTCCCAGTTGAGCAGTTATGGATAATGGTGCAACCTGTGATAATGTGATGCTGTTAGCAACTTCTTCTGTCCTTTGGCATTATAGCCAATATTTGAAAAGGGTTTAAAGTGAACTGTGCAACCAGCAGTCAAATTATTTTTATGTCTTATAAAAATCTACTATTGTTATCTATCTATTTATTAAGATGAATAGGAAATGCAATGTATATGTATTGTTATATAGCTACTGATATAGCAGACTTGTCTTGAATCAGAAATTTTGCAACCGCCAATGCATCTGGCTACTCACCATTATTTTTCTACAAGAACATTTATTATCTTATTGTGTTTTGTACAGAGGCTTTCATTGCACCATTTTGCCCACATTGTTTTTAGCAAACTACGCTACCTGATCGGACACAAGTTATCAGGGAAGTGGGTGGCATGCCAACCTCCCTCCCAGCCTGCACTCAGCTGAAGTGTGATGGATTGCCTACCCAAGCAAAAGAATGGTTTACTTGGGCTACTTGGTACTCACATACCTACCAGTTAGTGCACTAGGTTGTCAGATGGTCTGTAATTCAATCGCAATCAAAATGTATTAACAATCCTATTTGCCTTGTTTGTTCATAATTAAAGTTTATATCTTCATCTCCTTTGATCTGAAATGTTGACAAGTAGAGTTGAAACTAAAGTAATTTCTTCTGTTTTTGAATTAAGTTTAATTTCAAATGCAATCCTGGTTTGTTATTGGTTTTACTTAATTGGTTGTACAATATGACTATTATTTTTGTGTTAAGGTATTTATGCACAATGAAAACTGCTGTGAGACTTACTGGTTTGTTGTGTAGTGTTCTCACAGCCCCCCCCCTTTTTTTCTTGTTCATTTTCTATAATTCTAAAGTTTCTAATTTTATTGCTGGTTAACATAATTCAAATAATGTATGTTGAAATTTGGATGATGATGATGATGATGATGATAAAAATGATGATGGATGGATGGATGGTGATGCAATGTATTTTTATATGTTACTTTTCATCAAATATTTATTTTAAACCTATGAAGAAAAAATAATTTAATATTTTCTCAAACCATTACAGACTATGCATGTAAAGAATACTCGCAGTAGAGTAGCTTTATGTTACTGGTGATCCCTTTTCTAGTTAACTTCCCTGTACCAAAAGCTGAAGATGGTGTTTTGGTTGTGCATGTGTAAAAGTTGGCCAGATTTACAAAAGTTTTCTAAAATATGGAATTATTTGGAAATTGCTAGTGCTAACTAGCTTTGCTGTGATTGTTGTGGGTTAACCATGTCAACATAAATGTGGAAGACTACTAAATTATAATTAACCTATTTAAAACCAGTATGTACATGTAGATGAGTAATTTTACAGGCTGTTTTACTTGTAAGCTGTAATGTTGTAAATCTGGCTAATTTTTTCTTGACATGAAATGTTGAATGGTCAAGTGTATGATATGGACTGAAACTGCACTTAGGCACATTGTTTAAAAATACCTGCCCAACTAAATTAGGCAGTTAATATTGTTAAGATTAGTTATCAACCCAATGGGTTAAGATACCTTTCTGCTTTATTGCATACTCGTGATAAAAAAATATTGAGTGATCTTTCTCCTTAACACTGGATTACTTGAGAGATGCTTTAAGTCACTTACTTTCGTTTATACTCCAATATGAAAGCAGTACTGGTTCTATCTTGGTGTATGAAAATTTTGTGATTTTCGAGGGTATGAAGGTTCAGGTTGAAGCTAGCATGTAAATGCTATTTTACTGCTTTCTTAGATTGGATAGGTATGTGACATGACTGACTTATTTTGTTGAGACAGTATAATTTCTCTATTATAACAGTTGTGTAGAACAGGTAATGAGGGTTAACTTTCAAGGGAACAAAGAAATTTCTGCAGAAATGACTCACGTAATTCTTCTCCCACTTCCTTTTTCTGCTTGTTTGTTTTGGGCAGTGAGATATTTTCCTGTGCCGATAGAATGAAAATTTCTGAACCTCCGGAACTTCAAATCATGATTCTTAAAGAAGTAGGTAAGGAAAGCAGATGGTTCCCAAAGTAGCTAAAATATCTTATTTCTTGTTGCCCTGTCTTTTCCAAGCTGAACCTTGATGTATTACCTTTTGTCGGAAAATGAATGTATGTCAGAGCCTTTAAGCTGAAAAAGTTAGTGGGAGTTGGTCTTGTAATTCTAAAACTATTCCTAAGAAAAAAATTGAGAACTTTAAAAATTATATTTTGTGTATGTCTCATAGGCATAGGCTCAGAAGTAGTCCAGTGTTTCAAGCTTCTCCTGTGTTATTAGTAAATGACTACAACTAGACCCTGTTGTTTTCTCATAAAGTTGTTTGATATCTCACTACTACTAATGATGGCTATGGTGGCAGGTGTCATTCATCATGATAGCCTTTAATATTTTTCTTACTTCCTGCTGTGTTTTCTAACTATTGAGAACTGATTTTTTTTAGGCATATCTGGCTGCAAATTTGCTTTTATAAATACTGTACACATTAGTTTTTGTCTACAAACAATTTGACTGAATATTTGCTAATGTGTTGTTTATATCAGGAATCTTAGTGCCTCCAAAGTATGGGCCAATAGTCTTTGTTACAGACGTGTCTTGAAGTTTACAAGAGACTATCAAGTAGCTTGCTGTGAGACTGACATTGCGCCACCTAAAGCGTTGCTGGAATGCTAATTCTTTCTAAAACCTATGTAGTTCAATCTAAACTTTATTTTTGTAATACCTCTTGGGAAATTGGCCTGTATTCTGTCTTATTTTGAAATCATATGAACAATATGTGTACATCTATCTATATGGTGTGTGGGATATCATTCTAACAAGTATTCTGTGGTATAATGTATCGTTGGACTGTTTACAGTTTTGCTGCTAGTTTAACATTTAAAAAATGATCTTAGACAAGGTGTTTTTTCTTGTGTTTTTGTTTTCTTTCTTATGAAATCATAAACTAAATCTGTGCCTTAATTTTTCTTTACTGGTCTACAATCTTTTCAAATTTATAGGTTAATCTCGGTATCATCTTAGGTATTTTATTAAATCTTCCAAGATAGTATTCCATTATTTATTTCCTTGCAGATTAGTGACAGCAGTTTTTCATTTAAGTTCTTGTATTGTCTTTCATTTGGGGCAGGATAACTGATTGTAAGGTTGAGATGATTGCTAGCATTCCCCATGGTATTTTTTTCAGTTTGTGTCTTGTCCCTCTGTGTGTGCTTTACGGACAGTCCCTTTCCATCTTTTTCCTAGGGATCTGTCTTTCTGAGTAGAGGATCATTAATCCACAGTATTTGCTTTTACTTTGATACTTCTCAATTTGTATCCATTAGTTTCCTGGTAAGAACACCATACTTTTGCTTTATGAGATAATAGATCTTTGTATGTTTCACACCACAGCATGTTTGGAAAACTGGATCCTAATTTTTATCTACATTGAGACCCATTCTTGTATACATACCTCATTTCTCTCTTCTTCTCCCTTTGTTTTGTTTTTTTGTTTTTTGTATTTGTTCTCCCCCCCTTCCAACATCCCAAGAGTAACTGAACAAACACTTGGATCTCTATAGAGAACATAATTTTCCTGAAGTGTTTTTGGCTCCATGGAAATGTATTAAGTTGAACACATTTATGTAATACTTGCAGTGTGAAATAGAGTTTTTGCTTATGTAGGCTAACCAGTTAGTTGTTGAAAGTTTCTTTTGTTTCCTTTGTGATGTATTGTGGATGAGACATCTTACTACAGGTGGATCACCTAGCGTGTTGCCCGGGTCCGGCCTGTCCTTTTCTCTTTATTTTTAAATTAAACACCGAAGGAGTGTGTTCTAAGGAAGTAACTTGCATTTAAACTGGGAAAACTACAAGACAAAAAAGTTTTTCAAAAACAGCAAGTGAGCAGAGTGGACATGGCGGATCGCTTAGTGTAAGGCCATCTGAAAGGTGACATTTTATTACTGAATTATTTGTTCAATCTCATCTACAGCTACAAGCTGAAGTTACAATGAAAAATGTCAAACTATTTGTTGGTTGCACATGTATATTGGAGTGTTCATTATTATTTTTTATCTATCTACATTTATTATTATTACTATATCACCATTATTAGCATCACTATATCCATCATTTGTTATGTTTATCATCACATGCTCAGTTCAATAGTGAGAAGAGCTTTCAAAAGTAGGAATGGAGGGAAACATGTCAATAATTATTAATTTTGTTGGACCTCTGTCATTTGTTTGCTGTTGGTTAAGATATTTTAATAGTTCAATAATATGGACTGAATATTTTTACACAACATCAAAAAGAGGTACAGCTCAATAAGACAAGTTTAAATTGTTTTCCCTGAATAAGAAAACAGAACTTTTGTTAAAACATATGGACAACATTTGTTCTCTTTTGAAGCAATAGCAATAGCTTAGTGATCATTGTTGCATTGCTTTTATTGAAACATTTTCAGACTGAGCATGTCAGGTCAACTTGCTTTTGTTCTTTTGTTATTTGCTACTTTATATATGTTTTACCACATTGCTCATTCAAATCATGAAAGAGGCAAGAGTCTAATTAGCTGTCGAGAACAGTGTTTTCTTGTTAGCTCATCTTTAAAAGCTTGGACATTTTTTATGTAACGGTATCAATCTAAGCTTTGTGTTGACATGATTTTTACTATGACCCCTTGCCTCATTAGTATAGTAGCCGTTTTTGTGTCTGCTTCTTGTTTTGTTTCTTCATTTAAATTGACATTTTTTTTATTATGGTTACCATCCCTGCAAATATAAGAGATATTTTCAATAAATGTTAAACGGTAAACGAAGCTTGTTTTATTTCCCCAAAGATCTGCTGTCGCGATAGTGTTGGCCCGATGGCGCCGCCGCACGCACAGCTGTACCCTGAAGCTGCTGAAGCTGTATCCCCTCCATTAATGTTATGCCCCCCCCCCCCCCTTTTTTCTTCTAGTGCACACACTAACCTGTTCCACTCCCCACTCTCTCACTCTCCCCGCTCCCACGTCATGGTGGGTCGCCAGTTCCACGCGATGTCAATGTCAGTACCCAGTGCCCAGCAGCCCATGCTCGGCCGGCCCGTCCTCCCCGTCGCGACCCCCCTTCTCTTTCTCTCCGGGACGCCCCGCGCCCCGCGGCCGGAACGGAGTGGCACCAACACGTCACGTCGGCGTGAGTCGCGACATTCCATCTGACGTTTATTTTGTCGGTGGTTAGTTGCGCTTGAGCGCCCCGCCGGCCCCACCCCCGCACGGCTCTGACTCTACTCGCGTGGACAGCGCGGCAGCGAGAGGAGCTTCACGCGCACCGCGCAGTCCGCCGCCGTTGCCGAAGATATCTGGTAAGAGTGCCGGCTCGTGTCGACTCATCGCCGCCATCGTTGTTATCTTTGGAAGGGAGTTGTGATTTTGATTTTCACTCGCTGTATGTTGTTCACCACATCGCGGGGAACACCCTATCGGCCAAACAAAGCGACGCGAAGCACCACGCCAGCGGCTTAGGATGCACGACTGACAGCGTTTTCAAAGTGGGATTTTGTCCTTACTAGAAGGTTGTTCTTCCCTCCAGTGACAAACCCTGCTCGACGAAAATGTCCGGCGGCGAAAAGACGGATGCCGAGGCGTTGAAGGAGGTGAAGGAGTTGTCGGGCCTGATCGCCGCCCAGCTCGCCGACGGGGAGCAACTGGAACACTTCACTTCGAAGCCAGGGACGTCCCTAGGAGAAAATTATGGCAGCACCATGCTCGCGCTGGACATCGTCATCAGAAAGCAGGCAAGTCCCCCATCCCACCTTCACTCCCAGAAACACCCTGGCACACCCCTACTCCCCTTCCGCTCCCCTCTCGCGGCCCGAATGGCTGAAAACGTGTCTGATTTGGTTTGGATCACAGGCAGGGAATGAGATCTCCCGCCGGCACCTGCTCGCCTTCTGCAAGATGATTCCGGACGATCCCCAGAAACGGGCCATTTTCAACCCGACCGTGACGTTCGTCAAAGAGCTGGAGATGTACACCCTGGTCCTGCCCGCCCTGCTGCAGCTGCAGCTCGACAGCGGCGTCCCCGACCAAGACCTCATATCTCACCTGGCTCCAAGGTACGCTACGCTACTGAAGTGCCCTCCTTATCGCCAGCTTGCAAATAATCTCTGTAGGTTAGGCGCCGCAACTCGAGTGTTCCATCAACACATTCCCTACGATAATGCGATAATGTTGATGCTTTACTATTGTTGGAACTGCAAGGGGGGGGGGGGAGGTCTGAGTTCAACGAGTAATCATCTATAATTATTGATCCCTTGCTCAGGTGCTACGGCGCTCGCGTCAGCCTCCAGGGCGACGGCCCCGTGGACGACGACGCCGTCATCCTGCTGGAGGACATGCGGCAGCGGGGCTTCGCGCCGGGCGACCGCAAGGCGGGCCTCGGCCTGGAGCAGGTCAAGCTCGTCCTGGAGAAGCTGGCCGTGTTCCACGCGCTGCCCATCGCGCTGCGGCGCAAGCGGCCGCGCGTCTACGAGGACACGGTGCTGCGCGCGTGCTGCGACTTCCACATGGGCGCCGAGGAGAGCCCGAAGGAGGACATGGACCGCTTCAGGCGGGCCATCCTGGTCAACGTGGAGAAGAGCCCGGAGGCGGCCAAGCACATCGACGCCGTCGCCAAGGTGGTCAACGAGGCCAAAATCATGAAGGGGGAAAAGTTTCCACCGATCAGAGAGCCCTTTGCCACCATTTTCCACAACGATTTGTGGACCAACAACATCCTGGTGCAGATGGACGGAGACTCGCCCGCCAACGTTGCCTTCATTGACTTCCAGGTTGGTCCTCAAGCTCTGCCCTTTCACCTGTTGCCTTCCGGGTGTGAGTCCACCCGTTTGAGAATTCTGACAACTCGCATCCTTCTTTGCACTGCAGGTGGCTCGGATCAATTCCCCCTTCAAGGATATTCTGTTCTTCCTCTTCACGTCGGCGAACATGGCCGTCACAACCCACCACGTGGACGAGTTGTTCGAAGCGTACATGTCCAGCTTCCGCCGGTGTCTGTCCCAGGTAGGTGCCGCCGTCCCGTCCGTCTACCGGGGGGTTGTGTGTCGAGGAGGAAGTCTTTAGATGTTTACGTCGGACCAGGTGGGCGTGGACACGACGCCGTTCTCGACGGAGGCCGCGTGGGCCGAGACGGTCGCCGTCGCGCGCACCGAGCTCTTCCACATCCTGTTCATGCTGCGCTTCCTGAACGCGGACCCGGCCATGATCCGGGAGGACCCGGAGGGGTTCCCGTACAGAGAGGACCTCGGCGGCGAGTCGTACGAAAGGTGGGCCGCTCACGTGGTCCTGCAGTTCGCCAGGCACGGCTGGCTGGACTAGAGAGACCTCCTCGTTGCTCGTGGTCACCGTCGGAGGGGAGACCAATAACTGTGATATAATAAAGGCGAGTCAAGCGATATTTTTTTACCCATCGAATTAATTATTTTTCCTCTCTGCCTTTCGTGTATCGATAAACTTGAACCTCTTAAAAAACTCTTATTTATGGCATATGTTTTCTATTTACCACACGCCCTACCCGATGGCCTGAACAGCTGCCGTGCACACTACTATCTCAAGAACCATTCATGATTGCCTACTTGTTGAGTTGAAACCGTTCCAAAGCATCTTAGTCGATCTTATAGTTATAATATAATAGTTTTTTTATGATTTACTAGTTAAACACAAGGGTGTAAATGTACTCCGTTCATGGTAACGGCGGTAACGCCTGCAGCGGGATGGGTAGGCCAACCCGCCAAGCATCTGTGTGGAGTCGGCGGCCCGCCCTAGGCAAGAGGACGGTGGCCCGTGTCCCCCAGCGTCCCCCCTCCCCCCCCTTCCCTCGTCCTCGCGTCACCACGGGGGACACTCTTTTGGAAATGAGTCACTTTAAAAGTGCGCCTTACTAGGAACGTGGCATATGGTAGCGCAGGAAGAAGATTTCTTATCTTTGGCATAACGCCCCAGGGGGTAAACCACTGAAAACAAAAGCCCCTCTTGCCGAGTCTGTTATGGCCGAGGACAATATAAGGAGAATAGATAAACTCGATCGAAGGTCCTCGCTATAAATCTTGGACCTGGCCACAGCAGCACGGCAGACCCGGGCCGGCCGCGACCTGAGCAGCCGCACTTTGCACAAACTCCAAGTGTCGCGCTTGCGTCGCCATGCGTGCGACTGTCCCGGCCTCCATCGGCGCCGTCGGCCTCTTGCTGGCCCTGGCCGCGTCCGCCGCGGCGCTCCAGGACCAGGATGACGAGGAGGGTCGCGACGCCGGAGAACCTCTCCGGCTCCCGGACGACTTCATGGTCGGCGCAGCGACGTCGGCCTACCAGATCGAGGGGGGGTGGAACGAGGGAGGTGAGTCGGTAGCATCGGGTGGTAACATTCGACGGGATTCTTTTCAGTCACGCGGGAAAAATTAAACGAAATGTGATAAGTTGAGCTCGATTTGGAAGTCATGGCAAAACATTTAACGACTCGGAGCCAATATGCCTTTCGCGCTGAGAAGAGCGACGGGCATCATTGTACGCGTTGACTCGGCGTGCTCGGCTTTCCTTATCAATTTAAACGAGTCGCATTGTGGTAGTTCGAGTTGAATGGGCTGCATCGTTGAGGTAGGAGTAAGTTGTTGCACAACCACAAGTAGACCGTGACGCAAGTGAACTTCAGGTAAGGGCCTGAGCAACCTGGACGTGGTCAACAACGACCGCCCCGACCACGGCGGCACGGTGGCCTGCGACTCGTACCACAAGTACGCGGACGACGTGCGGCTGCTCAAGCAGCTGGGCGCCACGCACTACCGCTTCTCCCTCGCGTGGACGCGCCTGCTGCCCACCGGCGAGGCCGACAACGTCAACCAGGACGGCGTCCGCTACTACAACGCGCTGCTCGACGAGCTGGACGCCAGCGGCATCAAGCCCATGGCAAGTACACAAACACACAAACACACACACACACACACACACACACACACACTCTTATACCCTCGGTGACTCACACAGAGGAAGAAGCTCTCCCACTTATTCACTGTCCCCGTGGTGCTGCGCAGGTCACCCTGTACCACCAGGACATCCCTCAGACGCTGCAGGAGGCATTTGGAGGCTGGGACGACGAGAAGATCGTCGGCTACTTTGAGATATACGCCAAGACCGCCTTCGCGCTCTTCGGGAAGCGGGTGAGTTGTTGCGACGTGAAGGGACCGGACGTGTGCGTGTGTGCGCGCGTGTGTGTGTTTGCGTGTGTGAGTGTGTTTGCGTGTGGATGCGTTGCTCACCACCGCTACCGCCGCAGGTCAAGCTGTGGACGACGCTCAACGAGCCGCTCACCTTCTGCTTGCTGGGCGCGGAGCACGGCCGGCTCGGCACCTCCAAACCCAAGCCCGGCATCAGCGGGTACCGCGCCGCGCACAACATGCTGCTGGCGCACGCCCGCGCCTACCGCGCCTACCACCGGGACTTCGCCGCGGACGGGGGTGAGTCGCTGCAATCGAAATCGTGCTCATGTGTCACGTGCTCCAGAGGGGGGGAGGGGTGCAGAAATAGCATGCGGCCACCTTTGGTTGGTTCGGGATCACCCCTTTGCAGCTCACAGGGGGGGGGGGGACCCCCATGATATTCGTACCCCGTCCCCTCCGGGGGCGTGCGTAGCATTTGCACGGTCGCTCAACCGCGTGTCCCCCAGGCGCGGTGGGCCTGACGCTGAGCGGGCTGTTCACCCGGCCGTGCAGCACCGCCTACGAGGACGTGCGCGCGGCGGAGCGCCACATGCAGTTCGAGCTGGGCTGGTACCTGGAGCCGCTGCTGGCGGGCGGCGTGTACCCGCCCATGATGCGACAGCACGTGCAGCCCGAGAGGCTGCCCACCTTCAGCGCCGCGGAGCGCGACCTCCTGAACGGTGAGCACCGAGGCCTTATTCCCCACACCGCGGGGCCGACGCGGTCCTCTACGAGCCATAGTGAACCTCGGCCTCGGCCCGCCAGGTGCCATCGACTTCATCGGGCTCAACTCGTACTTCGGGGGCAGCGCCTGCGACGGCGTGCCCGAGAACGCCGGCTCGCCGTCGTACGAGCGCGACCAGGCGGTCGTGGTGCCAGGAAGCAGGGGCAACCCGGACCTCGACCCGGACAACCCCATGATGTCCGCCGTCTTTCAGGTAACTGTCGGGGATGGGCGAGTCGGCCACGTTGGCGAGGAGGAGGAGGACGTAACTGAGAGGTTTTCCTTGACTCGCTTCAGTGGACGCCGTCGAGCATTCGCAACAGCCTGCGCTGGATCAGGGACCGTTACGACCCGGACAACAAGATTCCCCTCATAGTGACTGAGAACGGCTACAACGGCGAGGACGACACGAGGATGGCGTATCTCAGTGTAAGTTTGTGTCACCTGAAGGCTGCACCGACCATTCACGTGGATTGGTGACGAACTTAACCGTTCTCTCGTGGCATGGACTTTGCCAATCTGGGAATCATACTAGGCGAAATCTAGGGTAATCCGTCCCCGTTGTACACGAGATCTCAGATTCGTTTCCCCCTCGGCCCTCTCTGACCCTGCAGCAATGGCTACGATCCGTGCTGCGTGGGAGGTACCTGGACAAGCTCAACATCCGGGGTTACTTCGTCTGGTCACTCATGGACAACTTCGAGTGGGGTATCGGCTACGAGTAAGTACAGTGGTCGTGTTACGGCGTGCGGCCGCGTACGTGTTCGCCGTGAAGCATCTCTTTCGTCTATTGTCCGGCAGGGGCAAGTACGGCCTCGCGCAGGTGGACTTCAGCTCTCCCAACCGGACGCGCACCCCGAAGAACTCGTTCTACTTTATGCGGGACGTGATCGCGACCCGCACGGTGCCTCTGGTGGAGCGACCCGGCGGCAGCAGCGGCGCGACGCGGACGGGCCTCCCCACCGCCGCCTGGGGGTTGGTCGCGCTGCTCGCCCTCTCCCTCGTGTAGATCTCCAGGCCGGTGGTATGCTCCATCGGCCGCCCGACCACCGCACTCTCGCGCTCGAGCTACGCGCAGCTTCCGCTGGGCGGCGCGCCCGCCTCTACGGCCACAGGCACCCAGGACCCAAGGCCAACCTCCGCAGCAGCGCCCGCTCGCGCCAAGCTACCGCGTTAAAATTGAAGCATTTCAATTTCCGACTCGTCTATTCTTAGATTAATTTTACAATAAAAATAACAATATATGTACACTCGAGTTAAAGCTGTTTGCCGGCGACGCTCCGGTGGCCCTCACAGGGCGCGGAGCATGACCTTGTTTCCGCCCACGGTCTTGGTCACGAACGTCCTCTTCTCGAACGTCTGTGGGTAGTGCTTGTCGCCCTCCACGGGCAGCACGCGGTACGCCCTCAAGATGGTCGCCAGCCCCGACTTCATCTGCATCATGGCGAACCGGAGCCCTGCAAACAACAGGAGAAGCGAGGCACGTTTAGAACAAATTGCACGGCGGCTGTAGCCGTCCGCTGTCAGCCAATAACGTTTGCGGGACGCACCGATGCAGACCCGCGGGCCCTCGCCGAACGGCATGAAGGCGTAGTTGGGCCGGCCCGCCTTCGCCTCCTCGGAGAAGTTGTCCGGGTTGAACTTGTCCGGCTCCGGGTAGAACTCGGGGTCGCGGTGGATGGCGAAGATCGGGATGATGACCTTGACGCCCTTTGGGAGCACGGCGGGCTTGCCGTCGGCGCCGGTCGTCGGCAGGACGTAGTCGTCGTTCGTCATGCGGACCATGTTGGAGGCGGCCGGGTACAGGCGCATGGTCTCTGCGGGCCAAGATAAAAGGACACGCTGCGTTACGCTGCGTAGGGTGGGCTGCCTACCCACAAGGCGCTCCGCGTGCAGTGCCATGTCGGCGCCACGGCACGGGCTGGTCCGAGCTAGTCATAGGTCAAACCTTCATTAGTTACTCACACACACACACTCACTCACTCACAGTCATACACACACGCGAGCGCGCGCGCGCGGAAATACATGCTAAGGTCTAATTTTCTGTTGACATCATCCAAATAAAGTTTTGGGCTGCCGTGCCGCCCGCCGTGCCGCCCGCCGCGCGCTTCTCTTCCTGCGGCCTTGGCGCGGCCCATCCACACGACGCGGCGCCACGCGATGCCACAGCCGCACGGCTCGGATAAGATAATGGACGCTTTTTCGTACATCGCAAGAAATCAAACGGAAAGTGGAAACCAGGACCGGAACCATGTTCTGAAATCTTTAGGGATTCCCCGCATTTCAATCATGCAGGTCCTCAGATGCATCCAGATAAGTGGGTGTCTTGGGCGAATAAGTCTGCTAGTATGAGAAAGTTGAGATTTGAACCAATGGACCAATCACAGCCACGATAGTGCACTATTTTCTCATACCAGTAGACTCTGGCACCCAAGGCACCCAAGACACAAGACACCCCAGTATCTGGACGCGTCTCTCTCCGTCAGATGTGTACTCTAGGGCTCTTGGGGATTGTTACCATACTACTTCGTGGGTTTTAAGGGGCTACAAATATTATGGGAGGCATCCCAAAAGGATCAGGACCATCAGTGGAGTCTGTGTCCCCAATTTTTTTTTTTTTTTTTGTTTGTATCCCGCGATACATTGGTCTTGGGATATAGATTTGGTCTGAATACCCGCTGAGTTGTCTTTTTCTTCTGGGTATCGTCGTTTAACAAGGTACCTTAGGGATCGTCCAGAAAGTACGTCCTTTTTTTCTCAGATTCATTCGGCAAATTACGGGAGCTCGGCGCCTGCGATACTCAGGGTAGGCCACCCCGCAGTACACGCGTGCACTGCAGGCGAGATGTTGCCTACCTACCAGGCGCCCTGAGAGCTGATTGCACGCACAGGCTGAACACGGTTATTTCACTACGGGGAATGTCAGTCGCACTGTATGGATGATCTCTTATTATGCTCCCCTGCGAGTCACCCGTCAGGTACAGCACAACCGGAAATAAAACACGGTGCAAATCAACCAACCCTGTCCAAGAAGCCACAGAATGTGCGAGAGGTTTTGTCCAATTTCGAGGAAGCTCTCAGCTCCAGTCACATGTTTTGGCTCTTGGACCCGGCAGACTCTGGAGTCCGGCCGGAGTATCACAGTCTCTACGTCATTACCTCGACACCGGCTATTATATGGCGGGGCGGAGCGGGGCGGGATGGGGCGCACTGAGAAAAATTTTTGGTGCCAGGCACTAAAACTTTAGTGCCCAGGTCGAAAGTTTTTTGACGCACAAAAGTGTTTAATTCCAGGGGCAAAAGGCGTTAAGTGCGCCGGCTTTGGTGCCAGGCGCTAAATAGATTAGGCAGTGGCACTAAAGAATATGCAAGCTCAGGCATTACACTAAAACTTTTCCCCGAACATAAACTAGGTACGATGACACGGACAATATTTTTACTGGATTTGGTCCTAACTCTGTAACCAGGGAATGTACTAGTGGAGTTGATAATTTCCATACGGGTGGAATAGCCTTGAACTCTCCATACAAGTCTCCTTACAAAAATCAGCGCCATAGCATCAAATGGCGGCAAGTGGCGGCACCTTCATGTATAATGCGGCAATGACCTGGGTGAACTGCCCAAGCACCTGATGCTGTGTGCACCCGGGGCACCCAGCGAGATACAAGGCAGGCATTTCGATAGTGGTGCCATCTAGCGGTGACATCTGAACTACTCAATCATGCATACTTCGTGCATCACACAAAGTGCACCTCAGCCTATAGCACAAGACGTGTTTGGCGCCTAGCGCTAAACCCCATTACTGCTACGCCTCGGAAATTCTATTGGCCAGCACTAAAAGTTTTGCCACGGGGACAAAGTGGGACGCATTAAACAAAGGTTTAGTGCCGGGCACCAAAAATTTTTCTCAGTGCGGGGCAGGGCGGGGCGCTGTGCGGCGCTGGCGTCGGTTCTCCTGACCTCCTCGCCGTGGTCGAGGTCGAGGCGAACCCAAGAAATGGCAAACCTGCTCCGCGCGTTCTTGGTCGCGCGAATAAACCTTCCCGCCGGCCACCGGGGAGCTTACCGTCGATGACCTGCTCCATGTAGGTGAGCTCGCTCAGCGCCTCGTACGAGATGTCGCCGCCGTGCTTGGGGAGGACGCGCTGCACCTCGGCCCGCACCTTGTCCTGCACGTCCTGGTTGTACGCCAGCTCGGTCATGACGTTCCCCAGCGTGCTCGAGGACGTCTCGAACCCGGCCAGGAAGAACACGAACGCCTGTGCCGGCAGGATGTCCGCGTCGATGCCCTCTGCAAGGAATGAGTGTCGTCTCAGAGACCCGAACCCGACGTCTGCTTGTTGTAAGTCGATGATTGCAAGCCATGCACATGCATCCGTCGCCGGCTCACCCGTGTCGGCGTTGCTCTTGTTCTTCAGTTGCATCAGCAGGTCTACGAAGTCGTGACGAAGGACCTTATTTTTCTCTCTGTATTTGACATTCTCCTCGAAGGTACTGGAAGCAATAATTGGCAATTAGAGCTATAAGTTGGTTGCGTGAACGTTTACCGAGAATGGTCAGATTGGCCCACTTGCCTGGTGAAGAAGTCGGCGACGTCCTTGTCAATGAGCCTGACGGGGAAGACCATCTTGACGTAGGGGACGGCTCGGGGCATGACCATATTGAAGAAGGTCTGCAGGATGTTCATGTCGAAGGCCCGCTTACCCATGGCGCGGAACTCCGAATTCGGGTCCTTGAGGGCGTTTGCCTGGGAAGACAAGTGCGATGATTGACCTCCAAATCGTCCTCGACCAGGAGGTCGTGGCGTGCTGCGGGCCTAGCTCACCTGGATGCCGAAGGCGCAGCTGCCGATGATGTCCGTGGTGAAGCGCGCCAGCAGCTCGAACATCTCGACGGGCCTCCCCGCGGCGGCCTCGGCGGCCAGCACGGCCGTCAGCTCGTCGGCGCACGCCTGCACCAGCGGGAACATGTTGCGCATCTTGCCCGACGTAAAGGTGGGCGTGAGCTTGTGGCGCAGCGTCCGCCACTCCTGGCCCTCGATGTTGAAGAGGTTCGCGGTGAGCGGCTCGTTGTGCCGGTCGAACGGCATGCCGCGGTCCATGAAGTGCGAGAAGTCCTTGACCAGGACGCTCCGCAGCAGGTCCTGGTCGACGGCCAGCAGGACGGGCTGGGAGCCCACGAACAGCCCGACGCACGGCGCGCCCTGGGCAGAGCAGGCTGGTCAGAGGGGCCGACGAGGGGGAAGGGGCCACGGTCCGGGAGGGTTCGCTCACCTTGGCGCGGGCCTCCGTGTAGAACCTCTGCATGATAGTGCCACGAAACTCCGACTGCAGGATGAAGGATGGGGAGCTGCCCAGGATGGGGACCCCGTTCTTGGACAGGACGCCTCGCGACGTCCAGAAGTTCGCCGTCCTGGAGGGACAATGATGGGGGCGACCGTGAGCGACAGGCTTAGGTGCGCCACGGGGAGGACAGGGACGTGCGGGGAGCGTACCTCAGGTAGTAGCGGACGACGAGCAGCCCCAGGACGGCGACGAGCACCTCGAACACGCCCATGACGGGCAGCAGGCCCGCGACAGCGGACAGCACCATGGTGGCGGTCGGGTGGGCGGGAGCGGCGGTTGTGCGCGTCGCGAGTCCCGCGACCGGTGTGACGGCCGTGTGTCCAGGAGCCGGGTCGCGGTGCCATGGAGAACGCCGATCCCTCTCCACAGTCAGGTGTCCCCCCCCCCTCCTCGGTCCACGTGGGACGCCAGATCCGCTGCGTCATAGCTCCAGGAGGAATGAGATAGCACCGAATGATCCAACGCGAGAGGGGGATTGCGTGTTTTGGGAAGGCGGCTATCATCCGCCGCGACCTACCTCAACGGGTGACTTGGCGAAACTGTTGGTCCGGACCGAGTCATTGCCAGGCATCTGCTGAGGTCCAGCGGGTCCAGCCAGCGGGTCCAGCGACCACTGGTGACACAGAGCCAATGCCCATTATTACCCGATCGGCGCTGCCCGGGCACACCTCGTGCACCCAGAAAAATCAAAAAGTTGTAGGAACCATCTCGCGGGTTTTTTCAGGGATAACCATAGAATTTGGTTGAGACAACGATCCGCGAGTGGTGAAAACCGTATTCTTGGTTGATACACCTGTGGTGCCGTCGCCTCAACCATATTTTATTGTTGTCCCTGCAGTAACCATACGCTGGCTGCTACAACTTTTCATTATTCTGGGTGTGGCGCTGTGATTGTGATGATGTCGGTCGGACCGGTCGGTCGTAGAGTCGGGACGCGGAGCCGGCTGCCACCGTGCCGAGCGCAAAGCGTGTAAAGAGACACCCACGTTTCGTCAGCCAGCTCGGGCCCCCTGTGTCGCGCCTGGTCGCGCCATGCGCTCTCGCCCCGCGCCTCTGGCGCCTGGTGGGTAGGCCGCCCATCCTGCCCCCTTCCCGTGACCCGGCGTGACACGCGGCCTCTGCTCCGCCTTGGGCGTTATGCCTCCACTCGTTCACGGGTCTTGGTCTGGTAGCCGAGGAACGCGAGTTCTTGGGCTTGGGCACAGTCATGAGCTGTATTCAGTTTAGCTACGCTCACGAGAGCGCGAGCGCGAGAGCGTAGAGTCGGACGCCTTTTCCCTCTCGGCTCCCTGCCCGCCCCTTGTCCTACTCTACGCTCTCGCGCTGTCGCGCTCTCGTGAGCGTGGCTAAACTGAATATAGCTCTCTTACCAGGAAAACTTTCCTCCGATCAGTATGCATGCGTGCGGCGTGGACCACACGCATGGTGGCGTCCTTAAGCAGTCACTTGCATCTCGTTGACTTAACTTTTGAGACGCTGGGCTGGGCGTCACAACTCCTCCACTTTTTGCACGAAGCTGACCGCCATGTGGGCGCCGATGATGCTGTCGTCTCTAGCCGCCGCCCAGGGCCGCGCCTTCGTCGGCGTCCTCAGGGCCGTCCACGGCACGGCGGCGCAACTCGCCGCCCCCGACAAGCAGCTGGCCGCCGACCGGAGGGAGCTGCTCGCCTTCTTCCCCACCCTCGTCGAGGACGTCAAGGCCGACTCGTTGGCCGTCGGCATCCCGTCCGAGACGGAGTGGATCGGCAAAGTAAGGCCGACGTCGGTATCAACTCTTTTTACACCCCTCTTTTTCTTCACATCTAATGATGAGATGAAAAGAATGAGTATTGTACAGGGTCCTACCGACAATTTAGTAGAATGAAATTTCATAGTAGACATTTCTCTTAGTTGGTGAGAGCGAATATTTTAGAACTTTTAACAATATTCAGTACGTTTCCATTTTAAGTCTGTTCCTCAAGAAGAACAAGTCTGCGCACTTTTTAATGCGTAATTTTGACTTTGAGAGGTCAATATGACGGACGTGCTCGTGACCTGTGTGGAGCCGCAGGTGCTGCACTACGTGGTGCCGCGGGGCCGCCTGTTCCGCGGCTGCAGCGCGCTCAACGCCTGCCGCGAGCTGCTCCCGCCGGACCGCGCCGCGCTGGGCAGGCCGCTGGGCCTCGCCTTCGAGATGGTGAGCGGCCCGGGCCTACCCTAATCACCGCCTCCCTCACGCCCCTCTCGATGCTTACAATCCTGGTGCGTCCGAGTAGCTGCAGGGCTACGTCGTCATCATCGACGACCTGGTCGACGTCGCCGAGCTGCGGAGGGGGCTGCCCGCCTGGCACACGCTGCCGGGCGTTGGCGTGCACGCCGTCAACGACGCCTTCATCATTCACATGGCGATGAACAAGGTGCTGCACCGCTACTTCCGCACAGAGCCGAGCTACGTTCGCCTGTTTGAACTCATCAACGAGGTGAGAGCGGTGGGCTCGGCGGTGGGTGCGGGAGCGTCCTTCCCGGACGCTTACGCGATGTGTAAAACATCTCGGTCTCCCCGCAGACGATGTTCTACGCTCTCATCTCCCAAAACTACGAGTGCCACAACGGCTGCACCGGCGAGGGGAGGTTCGACGCCTTCGACCACGCGATGCACGCGGCGCAGGCTCGCTTCAAGATCTCGCACTACAGCTTCTACAGCCCGCTGGCCGCGGCCATGCACCTCGCCGGCCTCTCGGACAGCGGGCGCCACGGGGCGCTCTGGGGGCTGGCCCAGGACATCGGGA